AGATCCGCCCCAGAGGCATGGGTGTTTGTGAGGAGGATAGATCCGCCCCAGAGGTAGGGGGGTTTGTGAGGAGGACAGATCTTCCCTAGAGGCATGGGTACTAGAGAGTGATCGCGTGTCCTTGCTGGGTCCCATCCCCGTAGGTGATCGCGCTGTTAAGAGGATAGATCCGCCCCAGGGGTATGGAGTTTTGTGAGGAGGATAGATCCGCCCCAGGCATCCAAACCCTGCCCCGAAAGGAAGTGCCGATGGGTACTAGAAAGTGATCGCATTGTGAGGAGGATAGATCCGCCCCAGAGGTATGGGGGTTTGTGAGAAAATGGATCCGCCCCAGAGGTACGGGGGTTTGTGAGGAGGATAGATCCGCCCCATATTCATCGGACTATTCCAGTCATGCATCGAATCCTCCCCAGAGGTATGGGGTTTTGTTAGGAGGATAGATCCGCTCCAGACATCCGAGCCCTGCCCCGAAAGGCGGTGCCGATGGGTACTAGAAAGTGATCGCGCAGTGAGGAGGATAGATCTGCCCCAGAGGTATGGGCGTTTGTGAGGAAATGGATCCGCCCCAGAGGTACGGGGGTTTGTGAGGAGGATCGATCCGCCCCATATTCATCAAACTATTCCAGTCATGCATCGAACCCCTTTAAATTATCCATCAACCTCTGGGCCGGATCTATCCTCCTCACAGCCCATCACCTCTGATGGAGCCCTTTCAGTCAATCTATGCAAAATGAATCGGTCCCTAAGGAAGCCCCAAAAGGAGGTGCCGAGATGTACTCGAAAATCATCGCCCTATGAGGAGGATATGTCCGCCCTAGAGATATGGGGGTTTGCGAGGAGGATAGATCCGCCCCAGAGGTACGGGGGTTTGTGAGGAGGATACATCCGCCCCAAAGGTATGTGTACCACAGGGTGATCGAGTGTCCTTGCTGGGGACAACACGATCACCTACGGGGACAGGACCCAACTAGTTTTCGTGTCACTCTCTAGTATCCATACCTCTGGGGAGGATCTATCTTCCTCACAAACCCCCATACCTCAGGGGCGGATCTATCATCGTTTGTGAGGAGGATAGATCCGCCCCATATTCATCGAACTATTCAGTCATGCATCGAACCCCTTTAAATTATCCATCGACCTCTGGGCCGGATCTATCCTCCTCACAGCCCATCACCTCTGATGGATCCCTTTCAGTCAATCTATGCAAAACGAATCGGTCCCTAAGGAAGCTCCGAAAGGCGGTGCCGATATGTATTGGAAAATCATCGCCCTACGAGGAGGATATATCCGCCCCAGAGATATGGGGGTTTGCGAGGAGGATAGATCCGCCCCGGAGGTACGGGGGTTTGTGAGGAGGATAGATCCCCCCTAGAGGTATGGGTACTACAGGGTGATCGCGTGTCCTTATTGGGGACAACACGATCACCTACGGGGACAGGACCAAGCTAGTTCGCGTGTCACTCTCTAGTATCCATACCTCTGGGGCGGATCTATCCTCCTTACAAACCCCCATACCCTAGGGGCGGATCTACTATCGTTTGTGAGGAGGATAGATCCGCCCCATATTCATCGAACTATTCCAGTCATGCATCGAACCCCTTTAAATTATCCATCGACCTCTTGGCCGGATCTATCCTCCTCACAGCCCATCACCTTTGATGGATCCCTTTCAGTCAACGTATGCAAAACGAATCGGTCCCTAAGGAAGCCCCGAGAGGCGGTGCCGATATGTACTCGAAAATCATCGCCCTATGAGGAGGATATATCCGCCCCAAAGATATGGGGGTTCGCGAGGAGGATAGATCCGCCCCAGAGGTACGGGGGTTTGTGAGGAGGATACATCCGCCCAGAGGTATGGGTACCACAGGGTGATCGCGTGTCCTTGCTGGGGACAGAGCGATCACCTACGGGGACAGGACCCAGCTAGTTCGCGTATCACTCTCTAGTATCCATACCTCTGCGGCGGATCTATCCTCCTCACAAACCCCCGTGCCTTTGGGGCGGATCTATTTTTCTCACAGCTTGATCACTTTCTAGTACCCATCGGCACCACCTTTCGGGGCTTCCTTAGGGACGGATTCATTATGCGTAGCTTGACTGGACGCAGAAACCCTTGAACTGTCGGGGATCATTATTTTCACCTGAATTATCTATGCTAGCCCAAGACCTCTGCTGGATCCCGTTCAGTCAATCTGCGCAGAATGAATCGGTCCCTAAGGAAGCCCCGAAAAACGGTGCCGATAAGTACTAGAAAATGATCGCCATATGAGGAGGATAGATCCACCCCAGAGGTATGGAGGTTTGTGAGGAGGATAGATCCGCCCAGAGGTACGGGGGTTTGTGAGGAGGATACATCCACCCTAGGGGTATGGGTACTACAGAGTGATCGTGTGTCCTTGCTGGGGATAGCGCGATCACCTACGGGGACAGGACCCAGCTAGTTTGCGTGTCACTCTCTAGTATCCATACCTCTGGGGCGGATCTATCCTCCTCCCAAATACCTCGGGGGCGGATCTATCGTCCTCACAGCTCGATCACTTTCTAGTACCCATCGTCACCACCTTTCGGGGCTTCCTTAGGGACCGATTCATTATGCGTAGCTTGACTGAACAGAAACCCTTGAACTGACCGCGATCCGCCCCAGAGGTATGGGGGTTTGTGAGGAGAATAGATCCGCCCCAGATGTATAGATACTAGAGAGTGACACTCGATCACTCTCTAGTACCCATACTTATGGAGCGGATCCATCCGCCTCACAAACCCCCATACCTCTGGGGCGGATCTATCCTCCTCACAGCTCGATCACTTTCTAGTACCCATCAGCACCACCTTTCGGGGCTTCCTTACGGACCGATTCATTTTGCGTAGCTTGACTGGACGCAGAAACCCTTGAACTGTCCGCGATCCGCCCCAGAGGTATGGGGGTTTGTGAGGAGGATAGATCCGCCCCAGATGTATAGATACTAGAGAGTGACACGCGATCACTCTCTAGTACCCATACCTTTGGAGCGGATCCATCCGCCTCACAAACCCCCATACCTCTCGGGCGGATCTATCCTCCTCACAGCTCGATCACTTTCTAGTACCCATCGACACCACCTTTCGGGGCTTCCTTAGGGACCGACTCATTATGCGTAGCTTGAATGGACACAGAAACCCTTGAACTGTCCGCGATCATTATTTTCACCTGAATTATCTATGCTAGCCCGAGACCTCTGATGGATCCCGTTCAGTCTATCTGCGCAAAATGAATCAGTCCCTAAGGAAGCCTCGAAAGGCGGTTCCGATAAGTACTAGAAAATGATCGCCCTGTGAGGACGATAGATCCGCCCCAGAGGTATGGGGGTTTGTGAGGAGGATAGATCCGCCCCATGGTACGAGGTTTGTAAGGAGGCTAGATCAGCCCCAGAGGTGGTCGCGTGTCCTTGCTGGGTCCTGTCCCCGTAGGTGATCGCGTTGTATGGGTACTAGAGAGTGATCGCAGTGCACTCTCTAGTATCCATACCTCTGGGGCGGATCTGTCCTCCTCACAAAGGCCCATAGCTCTGGGGTGGATCTATCCTCCTCACAGCGCGATCACTTTCTTGTACCCATCGACACCGCCTTTAGGGGCTTCCTTAGGGACCGATTCATTCTGCGTAGATTGACTGAACGCAGTGCTCCACACAACGGTCCGCCAACAAGTTACGAAAGTCGTGCTCCCCTCTCACCCTGTCCAATCAACCAATATTGTTTTGTTAAATGGCGCTAGCTGCATTCGAATTTCGTCACTTTCTAGTACCTATCCGAGGCGCCATTCGGGTTTTCCCTAAGGACCCGTTAACTTTTGGGGAAGATTCATCCTCCTCACAGCGCGGACACATCTATCCTCCTCACAGCTCGATCACCTACGTGGACAGGACCCAGCAAGGACACACGATCACTCTCTAGCGTCCATACCTCTTGGGCGGACACATATGCCGACAGGAACAGGCAATGACCCGCGCTATTGTTTTGGTCTTTTTGGGGAAGATCATTCCTTCACACAATGTGTCGGCTGTGGGGAGGATAAATCCGCCACAGAGATCCCGAAAGTTGTGCTTGGATCCTCCTGCGACAGGGCTCGGATGTCTGGGGCGGATCGATCCGCCTCACAAACCCCTCCTACAACGCCGGAAGTGGAGGTTTCTAAATTCTGCTAGGCGTGCTCGGATCTTGCTAGTCGTGCTCGGATCTTTGGGGTGGATCGATCGTCCTTGTCGGCGGATATGTGCCCGCTATGTGGAGGATAGATCCACCGCAGAGATCCCAAAAGTCGTGCTCCGATCCTGTGGGAGCAGAACCTTGATGTTTGGGGCAGATTGATCCTCCTCACAAACCTCCATACCTCTGGGGCAGATCTATCGTCCTCACAACGTGATCGCCAACACGATCACTCTCCTCCTCACAAACCCCCATTCCTCTGGGGCGGATCTATCCTCCTCACAACGCTATCACTTTCTATTATCCATGGGCAGCGCCTTTCGGGGCTTCCTTAGGGACCGATTCATTCTGCGAAGGGACCCATTAACTTATGGGGCGGATCTATCCTCCTCACAGCGCGGACACATCTGCCAACAGAAACCGGCAAGGACCCGCGCTGTTGTTTTGGGGAAGATCAGTCCTTCACACAATGTGCCCGCTGTGGGGAGGATAAATCCGCCACAGAGATCCTGAAAGCCATTCTCGGATCCTCCTGCGGCAGGGCTCCAATGTCTGGGGCGGATCGATCCGCCTCACAAACCCCTCGTATAGGGACCGATTCATTCTGCGAAGGGACCCATTAACTTCTGGGGACGATCTATCCTCCTCACAGCGCGGACACATCTGCCGACAGAAACCGGCAAGGACCCGCGCTATTGTTTCGGAGAAGATCAGTCCTTCACACAATGTGCCCGCTGTGGGGAGGATAAATCCGCCACAGAGATCCTGAAAGCCATGCTCGGATCCTTCTGCGGCAGGGCTCGAATGTCTGGGGCGGATCGATCCGCCTCACAAACCTCTCGTACAACGCTGGATATAGATGGGAGATCTCTCCTCACAGTGCCAAGAGATCCTGGGACGAATCGATCCTCCTCACCACAGCCCTGTGCGCTCCATCTTCGAATTGTCTTTGTTCTTTCAGACGGATAGATCCGCCTCACATGTCATATCGTGCGTTTCCCTGATCGTTGCATCCGTTGTGTGCAAATAAAATGGCATCTCCTGGCCCTGGAAAACAGCATGACGTCGTCCAACCGCCCGTTGGGGAAGCGACACCGGAGGGGGCTGGGAACCGTGGTGGGCCTGCGACGACTTCGGCAACTGCGCCTACTATCAAGCACAGCCGTCAGAGGCGTGCTTCGTCCGGCGAGAAGCAAAACTCGCAATACTACAAGCTGGACAACCGTCTGTGGTACCTCGACTGGGTTTCTGAAGACCAATCGGCACCGACGAAACCACCATGTGGGGGAGTTCTGTACATCCAGGACTGTAATGTGATGCGGCTCGTCGGGGCAGTGAGTGGGTGGGAAGATTGGTCCGTGGCGATCAGGATATTTTTCGTCGAAACGGTATACGCGAAGAATGGCAAGCCTGACCACAATGCGAAGGGGTGTAGGCTAGCTTGGAAAAACTTTCGGGGTTTTGGAAATGTTGTTGCCACTCTTCCGTTTTACAGGCCTATTACCTCGGATCGTGAACCTGCTGTTCTACTGCGGGAATTCTTTGATGACTGGCAGAGAACAGTATCGCCAGACAGGTGTAAGGACGTTGCCGAGGGGCATCCCATTTCCATGCCGATTGCCCGTGTGAGTGATGACGTGCACAGCAAAACACAAACGTCCGAAACAGCAGTTACTAACGGTGATGAAGAGGTTGCAGTTGCGAAGACGCCTGCCAAAAATTTGGACCCCAACTTCACTCCGCCGCAGCTGGAGCACTCTCAAGCATATGAAGAATTAGAGCCCGAAATTGAAGTTGAGCTGGGCACAATTACGAAGACCACTGCCGAAAAGACGGCCGCAGCCGTGCGACAACGCTCAGAAAATCCCTCCAAGGGCATGACAATAACCATCCGGGAACGTGGTGAAGCAGAATCTGAAGGTCATGTGCGCCGCGATTTTGTTCAGGCCAGTCCGCGGACTGGTCGAGTTGATAAGGGGAAGAAACTAGCACCGGCCCAAAGAAATGTAGGAGAGGAAGGGTCTGACGAAGAGGGGGGTGACAATGAGGATACCCCCGTTTTGTCGGCAGGGGAGAAGCGAGTTGGGCAGGGAACATCCGAGGGGCAGAAGCAAAAGAAGCGAAAAGTGACAAGTGGCGAAGGAAGCTCCGTGAGGAAGAGGAAGCAGGCTGGTGAAAAAGGAGAGACTGCGAAGAAGAAACGGGGAAGTGGAGCCGGAATGGGACCATCGAGAGGCAGGAAGGACAAGGATGAGGTAGAGGTGGACCAGGAGGAGGGGGTGGACAATCGAGTTATAGATTCGGATGCAGGATATTTTATGGAGTGGAAAGATGGTGTGAAGAGGAATGTAAGCCTGCTCGTGAACCCCGAGAGGGTGATTCCGTTGCCGGCGTGGGAGCTCCCGTACAACCATCGTTTTATTGACGACACCCACGTAAACTTTATTTTGAAGGCTATGATGAAGGCGTACTCGAAGCCGGAGCACACCTACGAAAAGCCAGTTGTTAAATAGCCGGCCATCAAAGAGCCACCGAAAAAAGGGAAGTGGGCTATGCGTATTACACCATACGAGTTCAATGAGGACAACCCGAACGAGCACTGGTACTATGCCGTGAGCGGGCAGCACAACATGAGGGTCGCTTTGGTGTTGCGGAATCTTGACATTTGGAAAAAGCACTCATTCTTCAAGTGACCCTTTAAGCCTCTATACTTCTCGGACGAGGACTTCGACGGTTATACCCAAATCAGTATTGTCGACAACAGGAAGGACAAAGTTGCCCATCCTCGGGCGCAGCTGCTGTCTATGATTGATATGCGACAAGAGTGGGAAAATTTGAAACGTCCTCGTCTAGTGGCTGGGAATGTGAAGTTCAAGAAAAACTTGGTCGCCGAGTATGAGAAGTTCCAAAAGATGGCACTGAGAAAGACATCGTACCACAACCTCTGGGACCTTGTTAATACTGAAAGTAAAGAACAAAAAAAGATTTGGCAGGAAAAACTGAGGTACTTTTTGCCTCTAGTCATGAGTAATGACCGGACGTGGGAACTGGGTATGAAGTTCTACGATGAGTGGAAGAAGGGTCAACTTCTATCTCCAAATGGTGCTTTGTGGGCGATGAAGCCTCCAACGATTGACCCGAGAGTCGTCTACGAGGGTCAATCTTTTGCTGAGGACAGCAGCGGCCAGAAGAGAGTCGTGTACAACGTTCGTGTTACAGATCCGGAGCAGCGCAAAGGAAAGAAGCGGAGGAAACAGGAGGAGCGCGACTTTTTTGTGCAAGTAAATGAACCCGATGTGCATTGCTGGAAATAAATGGTGGATTTCACAGATGAAGAAAAACAACGGATATTGCAGGGTGTGTTGGACCTTGAGATTGTGTGGGTGCAGCAAGGGAGCAAGAAACTTGTTGACCACGGAAAGATGGGGATGAAAGACGCCTGCGAAATCATAAAGCAGGACCGGATGCTGTTCCGGTTGTGGCATATAATCGAGTTCCAGCACCAGAGCCGGACAAGCGAGGATTGAAACGCGGCTTTCTTCCGGACGAGAGAGCAATTGATAAGGCAGTATGCTTTGAAGGGGTTGAATGAGAAGTTGTGGGCGGCCTGCAGGAGATTTGTTGTCGATCATTCTTCTCTGAAGGACTGCCCCCAGTTCCTGGGCGGCGCGTCTGATAAGGACCTGAAAACTACCATGGGTCTGGTTGACAACGAGAAGTTCCCTGTTGAGTTCATGCGAGTTGTGCTGTCCATGCTCAAAGGCGAGTGAGGAAAGGAAAAGGAGGGGCCAGTCAGGCTGGGAGACTGCACTAACATCAGATGGCGCGACACTAAGCTTATAACAACGCTGGCACCTTTCGCCTATGATGCCTTCACAGCGTTCCTTATGAAGGATGAGATGCAGAGAGTTGTGAGACAGCTCCGTTGCCACACGTGCGTCATCGACTTCTGTGATCCTGTCGACCGAGCGCGTTGGAATGAGGAGACTTTCAAGGCGTTGGTGGATTTCCTGGAGACCCTGTGTACTGAATTCTGGACACTGGTTGCTTTCGTTTCCAGGATTTGGTACCTCTCTTTTATGGGCCTACTCCATGTCCTCCCTGTTGTTAATGGAAGCGCGGGGAAATGGGTTCGTAGGGGCCAAATCCGAAAGACATACCAAATTGGTAACAACACATGGGCCGAGGAGGATAGAATGTATGTTCTCTTCCACGGGGATAACCTCAAGCTCAACACTCCCCCAGTTTTCGAGGGGGCCTTGCGAGGGGATGATGCTGCCGCCTTGGGAAAGAAGCAGAAGTGCTCACCTTCCGATATTGCTGAAACACCATTCACGCCCACGACGTTCCAATATGCAGGTTTGCTCCACCAGAAGGGCTTAGTGTATAAGGAAATGGAGCGCAACCCCACTTTGTTGTACAACCTGATGGAGTTCTTCTGCCCAACCGGGAATGTAGTTATGTTGCTCGGGAAGGCTCACACCCAAGTTGTGTGGAACCTCCTCAGGAGTGGGCGCCACGTGGTTGCAGTGGAGGGGGACACAGAGCTCCTCAACTTTCTGAATACATACGTCATGCATGAGATTAACACTGGAGTTCACAACTGCGAACTGTACACTGGGCAGAGCGCAATGGACCATGACCCCAACAGGAACTTCTGGTTCAAGCTCTCCTCGGACAAAAGGGTAAAGCTCTACAAGTTTTTGTTCCTCGACACTCGTCCTACATACCGGACAGAGGACGACTACAAGGCACGCCGACACGTTGCGACCGGAATGTTGGATGGTTACCATGGCGGGTCTAGGGAGGCGGCGACCAAGTTCGTCGAGAAACTGGATGAGTGTTATTTCGACCAAGGCAAGCTCGAAGTCACTCTCAATATTTTCAGGGCGCACGTCACCGAGGAGGACTTTAACCCCAACGACGATGAAGAGGTCAGTGAAGGTAATGAGGAGTTCGATTTAGATGCAACATACCGCAAGCATGCTGCCGCTGTAGCGTCGTCGTCAACTCCTGCAAGTTCCCAGGTTCCCACGGGTTCGCCTGTCGGTATCTCAGTGGCCACACCGGTGGCCACGCCAACCTCCGGTTCTTCGAAAGGGTTTCTGTCGGAGAGGAGAAACAGACCTCTCAGCCCAATTGTCAGGCCTGGACTTCCAATTCCGTTGTCAATGTTATCGGGTCTTCACCAAGGCCAAGTATACCACTTCGGCATGGAGCACAATAGCACCAGCGAGGCTGATTGGGGTCACCACATATTGTGGCATCCTAATTTCTTCCAACCGGCCTTTCGGGATAGTGAGTGGTGCATGTCAATCAAACTAGGCGGCGTGTGGCAAATTGATCCACGACTGTCAAAGAAAGACTTCATGGAGTGTGCGCACGATGAGGTCATCAAGCGCGTTGCGGAGATCAACGGTCGAGAAATGCACGATTTGGTTGTTCKCATGTACGGAGASCAAATATTCGAGATTCTGCAGRAGCACAATATGTTGGAGCTCCTTCGTGAATTTTACGAMSYCGAAACGAGCCCGAGTCTCCAAGCGCRAATAYAGTGGGTGATTCCATCAGGAGGGGKKRARGKKGSMGSCWKRGRRGGSGKKGRARSSGSSGKKGKKGRRGSSGKKRMC